ATTACGGTTTGAGCTGCTTCAAAGGTAAGGTTTTCTGCTGATCGTGAACTTCTTAGATACAAACTTTTTGAGGCTGAGAGATTAAAAAGGAATTAAGGGGACACCTAACAATATGACTCTCCTTTGTGTGGATAAGAGCAAGGTCGCCCTGTATGTTGTTGACAGTATTGACTCTTGGGGTACAGGGGTGGAGGTCTGTCTGTGCTGAACTTGTTTTGGTTTTCTTAGAATCAACCCTGTGAGGATGTCCATTCTAAATAGTTACATTCCTGCTTCCCTCTCTTTCTCCCTCCCTCCCTCCCTCTCCTAGCCTCCTCTTCCTCCCCCATTATATATGTGCTCTGTGTGTGTGTGTGTGCGCGCACGCGCGCACGCTCTCTCTCTCTCTCTCTGTTTGTGCTCTCTCTGTGTGTATGTGTGCTCTGTGTGTGTATGTGCTCTCTGCTCTGTGTGTGTGTGTGTGTGCTCTGTGTGTGTATGTGCTCTCTCTCTCTGTGTTTGTGCTCTGTGTGTGTATGTGCTCTCTCTCTGTGCTCTGTGTGTGTGTGTGTGTGTGTGTGTGTATGTGTGCTCTCTCTCTCTTATGTTTGTGCTCTGTGTGTGTGCTCTCTCTCTCTGTGTGTGTGTCCCTCTGCTTTACTCAGCTTCAGCTGTCAACTTGACACATCCCAGGGTCACCTGGGAAGAAGAGTCAGTCTCAATTTAGGAATTCTCTCCCTCAGATTGGACTGTAGTAGCATTTCCTTGATTAATGATTGATAAAGGAGGGTACAGAACACTGGTCAGGAGATCCTGAATTGTATAAGAAAGCAGGCTGAGCAAGCCATGAGGAGCAAGCCAGTGAGCAGCGCCCTCCATGGCCTCTGCACCAGCTCCTGCCACCGGGTTCCTGCCCTGCGTGAGTTCCTGTCCTGACTTCCCTCAGTGACTTGGGAGTTTAAGAGGACACACTCTTTCTCCCCATGTTGCACATGATCAGCAACAGAGGAGCAAACTAGACACCCCTTCCTTTCCTCCACCCTTGGTTTTTTTCTTACTTTTCCTTCCTCTCTCCCCATCCCCTCTTGGGTTCTCACCATGCCATCCAGGATGATGCTGAACTTAGAATCCTCCTGCTTCAATGAGCTGAGTGTGGCACTATAAGTGTCCACCACCAAGCCTGGGTTTCCTATTTTGTTCTTAAAGAATTACTGATATGAGCTATAAATTATATAATTACTATAGATTTTATAAAACTCAGAGTGAGATTATGGCATTTAAAAAGGGGGGGAGGAGTTTAAGACTGCCAATTCCCAATGTTCCCTATACAAACCAAAAGCTATCTTTTCTCTTGTGTTTTGTTTGCTTGTTTGTTTGCTTGCTTGCTTGTTTTTTGAGACAGGGTTTCTCTCCATGGCTTTGGAGCCTGTCCTGGAACCTGGAACTTGCCCTGTAGACCAGGCTGGCCTCAAACTCCCAGAGATCCACCTGGCTCTGCCTCCTGAGGGCTGGGATTAAAGGAGTGTGCCACTACTGTCCCTCTCCAAAGGATATTCTATAGATCAGTTCAAAATCCAGATTTCACTGTGCCCCACCCCCAACTCAACAACCAGAGAGGAAAAGAGTAGTAACCTTTCCACGCTGGTTGATCTCAGCTGTCAATTTGATGAGAGCCAGAATCACTGGGAGGGGCCTCTGGGAAGCCCATGGGAAACGACCTTCATTAGATTCATGGAAGTAGGAAAGTCACCACTGTGAGTGACACCATTCCCTAGGTTGGGGCTGTAGGGGGAAATGGCTGAGCCTCAGCCTTGTCACTGTCCCCTGCTATGGAGTCAATGTGATCAGTTGCCTACAGTTCCCACCCTCTTGAGTTCCCCGCTGTGTTGTTCTAGACCCTTGAACTATGAGCTGAAATAAACCCTTGCTCCCTGGATTTGCTTTCGAGGGTATTTTATCACAGTAACAGGAAGAAAAACTAAGCTGCTTATGTGGAGGGGGAAACAGGGTTATCCCTACTTGACCTCCCATGCACTAATTTCACGTGAATTTAATAGCCTGTCCGGAGCTGCACTTTCACAATGTCAATTGTCAGCATTATTTGGGGGAGAAATGAAACAGAACAGGATGGAGACTTTGCATTTCTTTTCTCTTAGCTACTATGAGCTTCCTTACAGGACAAAGGTCTCCAGCAAGCACTATAAGCCACACACATTGCTGACTTTCACCTGGCTTGGTCTTTACACAGGCTGAGGTAGCGACAGGTACAGATCCTATTTTCAAACTGACGAATGTGTTTGGTGAGGTAAAGATTCCCATTCAGGAAGCCAAAGATCCAGGACAGGACCCCAGGTTCTCTGACACAGCACCCAAGCCACCGCTATGGTACCTGGCATTGCACTGTGCTCTGCCATCCTGACATTTGAGCCAGACATCTGCTCGAAATTTGATTCGTGATAAAACTCTTGCCTCATCAAAATGCCTCACACGAGGCATGGGTAGGGGAGGGGCCAAGGGGGCCTTCTGCTTAGAAAGCAATCGTCCGTCATAAGCATGTTGCTGTGGAACCAACAACTTAAAATGCATAACTCAGTCCTGGTACTAAATTACTTCCACTCATAGACTTACCATATCTTGGATAGGCTTATCCAGGGGAGGGACCCTCATTTATAGTCAAATATTAAGTGTGTAATCAATAGGATTGGCGAGTGGTTCACCCACAGCTCTCAGAACTTGTCCCACAGGCATGAGTTGTGCTGATCCTCTGACTGAGCTGGGCTTGGCTCGAATAACTAAACATTTCTGATGAGAACAAGTCCACAGCTTGTCTCAAAAAGAATCACCGCTGAAGCTATGCAGCATCTTTCTCCTTTTCCTCCAAATAGCTCGGCTTTGGAAACATGACATTTCCACCCTTCAGTGATACAGAACACGGGAAGGGAACCGGAACTGACCATTGCTGCTGCAAGCAGCTGATGCAGTTGAGAATGGGGATAATTCGGTCTTACAGTTGAAACAAAGCTAACCCCAGGCCTTTCTAAGGACCTGGGTTGCTCCCTGCAACCTCTACCCGGGATTAGATAACACATCTACAGACCAGAATGTGTTCTACAGAGAGGAGCCGTCAATCATAGAAGTATTCTTGTGCAATATCAATCAAGAGCTCATAGAACTCTGACATAAAATTCAAGGGTGTTCTCAAGGGGGACAGAAACCCAGGACATTTCGAGAAAATACTGAGGGTATACGGAACTCTTGTAAAAGCTGCACATAGATGAAATTACAGTGAATAAAAGCTGTGGGAGTAGGATGTCTCTCAGTCAATTGATAAGACTGAAGCTATTAGCAAGAAAATGGTATGCTGGTGGATTCAGTCAGACAGACAGACAGATGGAAAGGCAGAACCATGAAGGTTCCAAGTGTGGTAATATTAGGGGCTCTTTTCTAAATTAAAACAGCATCAAGAACCTGTTTTCCTTCCCAATATGCCCCTAAGTCAGACAGAAAACTGCGGACCAAATGTTTCCATCACCAGGCAAGTTTCCCCTGGTTCCTCCAGCAAGGCCATTTTCTCCGGCCAGAGCAGCGCTGATGTGTCAACTGCAGAGGTAAGAAGGCGAAGCCGGTGGCAGGAAACCAGGAAGATAAAAGTGCTGACGTCAAACTCTATACAAAGAACCTCTGAACAAGCAGTTGCAAACCAGCTTTAATGACATTTGATGTCACACACACACACCCCAGCCCCATCAATGGGCTTCCCCCATCTCCTGGGTATAAGTTGACCTCTGCCCACAGGCTCCACATTCTGCTGGTCCCTCCTGCTTCCTGTCTATCCATTCCCCAAGTAGGAAGCTCCATTTGTCTAAAGACCTGTCTGAGCCTCAGCTGGAACAAAGAAAAGTTCCTGGGCGTGGGTTTGCTCTTTTCAGATATTTTTTTCTCCAGTCAACCTTCGTGGACCCCACACTTGCCGCAAAGTTCAGTCTTAGTTGCTGCCAGACCAGGCATTCTGTCAGTGTCTCTTTTCCCAGACATGTTTTCAATCTATTCCCCAATGCTGCCTGCCAGGATGAATCCGTCCTGCGAGTGGTCCCCCGCAAACCACGTCTTCCTTTTAACTCTCAGAGCCACTCAGCCAGCAGCATCAAGAGATGAGTTTTCATACAGCCTTGATTTTCCCTGACAGGGGACGCACGCAGCCTTCATCTCAAACTCTCCTTAATCTAACGAGCTAAGAGAACACTGGGTTTCTGTCCCCCCCCCCCAATTCTTCTTTTCACTACATCCCATTCTCTTTCTCTCCTACCTTTTATTTCTTTCCTTATTCTCTCCAGTCATTTTTTTTTCCAGCACCACCCCAGGAACACAACTCATTCCAAAGTTCAAAGCCACCAGATTCTTTAAAATAAAACAAAACTTCCACAATTAACTTCATGCTGACTCTGAGCTCACAGTCTTGGTTTTGGGTGCTGGAGAGGAAAAACAAATTCAACACCAGCAGCACATTCGGCTAAGCATGAAGGAGGGTGCTGTTTGGGGTGTATCTGAAGGGTTAGCATATGGGCTTCTGCCAAATGTTCAGAGCCCACAGCCCACTAGCTTCTGAGCTGAGGGTTAAAACACTCTCTGAACACTGTCTGAGCTGAGTTCCCCCCAGCACCTCAAATCCACCTCTGCTTTACCCCCCCCAAACCTATGGGCTTAGTGATAGCTGGAAAAGTTTTCAGTCAAGTACATGCCCGAGCCACACCGCCCACCCCAAGAAAGCAAAGGGGTTTTTGCAAAGGAGGTGTGGAGTCTGTGGGAGTGTTGTTCCCCACCAGAGAATTCCTGTCCCTTTTCAACAGCCTCTTCCTTACACAAGCGGATATTTCCCGTGTTCTAGCGTGAGATACTGGGTATGACCGGCATGGTCCAGGCACCCTGGCCCAGCTGCCTGTGTCCACCTGTCAAAATTCTGGGGTGCGGGCAATAAAAGGGGGAACCTTCCAGTGTCCCCAGCTCACGAACGAGGTCATTACCTTGGCAGTGGCTTGCGGGCTGTGATACTGGCAACGATGATGCTCTCGGGACGTGGAGTGGCCACCGCTTTAAAGGTCCCTTTCCAGAACTTCTCAAACAGCTGTTTCTCACCCTGCTGAAGGCTTGCCATCCTGAAAGACCAAGGAGTCCCAGCTACCGGGGCGCTGTCCGAAGTGCTGAAATGTGGATCCCAAACCCGACGACACGCCCTGGGCTCCGGGGCGCTGTCCGCGTGAAACCCCCAAGGGGTGGGGTGGGGAGAGATCAGAGTTCTGTGCGGGGTGGGGGTGGGGGATGGGAGAGAATGGGACGTCTCAGGCTGGCCAGGCAGCGGAGATTGAAGGTGTTCTCTCGGCTGGGTTCGCCTCCTGCCTTGGCTTTCAGCTGCGCTGGGAGCCGGCTGAGCTCCGCGTCCTCAGCAAAGCAAAACTGGGCCGGCTTTCTCTACCGCGCAGAGAACAGAGAGGAGGCGACCGGGGCGTCTGCCGTGCGTGCGCGTGTGAGCTCCAGCGCGCCCGGGTTTTGTCTCTTGCACAATGTGACGTTGGAAGAGGAGGCTGGTCGCGCGAGCTGTACTTTCCTCCCTCCCCTTCTCGGTCTCCTCCTTCCCCAGCAACCCCTCCTTCTGTGGCTCAGCCTCCCGCCGCCATCTGCATAACAAAAGCCCGCAGGTCTGGGGAGGAGAAAGGGCGGGGCGTGCGCTTGTCTCCAAGGCCCGGTGGCCACTCTGAGTTGCTGTTCTGACCCCTCAGAGAAGAGACCCCAACACCCGGAACAGAACCAAGCCGGACATCCTCGTTGCAGCCTTCATCCCTCCTCCATCGTCGTAGGCCTTTTCCTCAACCCTTGCATGCGCACTCCCGGGGGCTGGGCCACCTCCCTATCCCTTTGCAAGACTTAGAGTGCATCTTCCGTTGAGGGAGCTAGTAAAAACAGCCCCACCTATCCACCATCGCCAACCTGCCTTCATCCTTCCCACTTCTGGGAAGGACCGCTGAGGTCTGCAAATCGGGGGGGGGGTGCCCCTAAATTTCTCTTTATGCTTGAGGGCCCTGGGCTTCCCCCGTCCCCCATCCAGGAAACGCCATTTGATGGACAATCCATCGCCAGCACGGTTTCTCGCCATCTGTCGAGCCGGCCCCCACCCGCAGAGGGGCGCAGCGTCACATCTGTGCCTGCGGCGCTGTTAAGGATATCTCTTTTGTGCCCTGCAGAGCCCGCCTGCCTCTCGTCCCCGCTGCCAAAGCCGCACCCCTCCCCCACCCCTCCTCCCCACCCCCTGAGGACCCGCAGCTTGTGTGTGAAGCGTCAGTCCGATTTAGCAAAGAAAGCGCTGGGGAAAGGGGGGGTTGGGGGGGGGGTTTGAGGATTACAAGGAGTTAGTAACTTTTACATTTTTCCGTCTTCTGCCTCTTCACTTCCCCCCAATCCCAGCAGAGGCTCAGAATCTCAAACTCAAAAAAAAAAAAAAACCCGCTGGATGTAGACAACAATGTTTTACCTTAGGGTTCTCCTTAGGGAACACATCCCAGAGGAATGGATCCTCCAGCCAGTTTCTACTTTGGAGCATTTTAATACTCGGTATAGAAACCACTTTCGCCTACCTCCAGAGTTTGAAACTCCTAGAAGGAGCCTTCACTATGTCTTAAGGACCTCCAAACACTGACATCAGGTCCCACCCTGAAGATGGAAAAGAAACATCTTTTAATTCTTGTAGACCCAGTAGCAGTATGGACCGAAGGCCCCCAACATCAGTGTAGACTTCGTGAATTCTTTGCAAAAGAATAGCAGGTACAGAGACGGGTAAAGGGGAAAGAGGAGAGAACAAGATAGGACGAGAAAAGCCAGAACACGGAAATAAAGGAGCGAGTGTTGGTCTGGAAAAGGCTGCAGGATGGGTTTGTGTGCGGCAGATGGCTGTGTGCTGGTTTAGGAGTGACCCGGGCTCTGCTCGCTATGCAGTGACCCCTTCTGGTCAATAACTAGAAGTGCATTTGTTGGCTTTCAAAAGGGGTAGAGTGGCCAGGAGTTGAGCTGGGTTTGGGATTGGGAGATTTGAGGAAACTGAAAGTTTAGGTAAATTGGGGAGTGGACTTTCCACTTCCCTCTCCCTGATGCACTGCATTCAAAATCCCAATTCTTAGACTGCCTTTAATCATTACCCTCTTTAGTTGGCTGTCATTTTTAAATGGCAGAGAGCCGGCTCCTTTCTTAGCTTTGGGTGTTTGAAGAGATCCTTAGTCGTGACATTTGGGTATGGACTGAGTCACTTTCAGGGAAACAGAGGTAGGTGGAACCTTACCTCCACCAATCCACCTTTCAGAGGTGCGCCTGCCCTTTAATAAAAAGGATTCAGTTTATCCTTAGTTTGGAAGTGTGTGGTGTAAGCCCCGCGTGAGGGTATTTCAATGAAGTCAGAAAATGGTGCCAGATTTATCCAGGGCTAGAGTTAAAGGTGGTCCCAATGTGGGTTCTAGGATTTGAACTCAGAAAAAGCAGCAAGCACTTTTAACCATGGAGCCACCTCCCCGGCTCAACTATGCCTGCTTTTCTTACCTGGTATGGGAAAGCTCCCAGTTGGGCATCCTTGCCTCTTTGGAAATCCAGAATAATCAGGTGAGATGGGAGAGGATGCTCCTCTTACTTGTGTGAGGATGAGGAAGCAGATGTTTAGGATGGCCGAGCAGTGTGCCCACCTGCCTCTAGTAGAATAGTGGGACTTTGGGGGAAAATAGAGTGAGTGGGTACGAGAGAGAATTCTGGGGATAGTTGGCATCCCACACCGGAACTATGCAGTCTACCAGACACCAGTGAGCCCATGCTTAGAAGCACTCATGGTTTCCAAGTCGGGCACCTCCTCTCACAAGACAGGGCTGCCAACGCCTCATCTCTGCCGTTTCTAGATGGATAAGACTGAAGGAGTGACCTTAGCAGTTGTATTAGCTGTCTTGTTACTGGGACCAAATTCCCCACAAGAAGTAAGCCAAGGGAGGAAGGCTTCTCTGGCTCACAGTTTGAGCCTACCACGGTGGGGGAAAGCTTGGCAGTGTGTAAGGCAGCTGGTCCTGTTCCATCCGAGTCAGAAGCAGAGGGAGAGGAACACTACAGCTCATCTTCATTTTCCTTCTCATTGTTTTAATCTTTCCTCCAAAGCCTGGGACTGCAGGTCCACCCATGGGACAATTCCATCCATACTCAAGAGGGTTCCTCCCTCTTCCATTAAGCCGTCTGGAGATGCCTTTATAGACAGAGACACGTGTTTCCATGGTGCTTCGAGTGTGGCCAAGTACACAGCTTAGAATCATAACTCTTGCCGAAGCTTCCATTTTGATATGTCACATGAAGTCTCTTGGATGATAACCCACTACTACCAGGCCCGTCTGACATGAAATTCTACAAAGACTGAATATTTGGGGTTTAAATAGACCATCTGGGAGGATTAACAGAATCATTGCGGTATACAGGCTTCAAAGCAGTCTGGAAAATAGTGTAGTGAAGAAAATCAATTATTATTAAAGGCTAAAAGCACAGCCTCTGGAGTCAGACGGAGCTGGGTATGAAGCTCAGCTCTGCCTCTTTTTAACTGGGTGACCTCAGGGGAGGAACTAAGTCCTGCCTCGGTTTTTCTACCCGAGAAATGGAGACAATAATGCATATTTCATATGTCCACTGTAAGGGTTAAATCAATCGTGACTCGAAAGGGACTTAGCTCCAGGTCTAGTCCGTTATAAATGTCTGTCACCATCAGGTGGCTGATGCAGTTGACACTCCTGCCCATTCACTCCAGACTGGCCATCATGAACTGAGGCCTGCTCTGGGATCTTGGTGGGACACAGCCCTGGGTACAGGAGTGGCACAACTGGTGTTTACCCTCTGCGTTGTCACTGGAACACATCACTAATTCCGACTATTGGGGCCTGACTTCAGAATGCTCCCCAACACCAACATCTAGACAGACTTTACTGACACTATTTGTAGAAATCATTTTCTACCCGCTACGGAGGGGTGCTTCTACCAGCTCTGGCAGGGTGCTTCTACCCGCTCCGGAGGGGTGCTTCTACCCACTCCGGAGGGGTGCTCCTACCCGCTCCGGGCAGGGTGCTTCTACCCGCTCTGGCAGGGTGCTTCTACCCGCTCTGGCAGGGTGCTTCTGTGCCTAGTGGTGTTATCCTTTCATTTGCAAAAGGAGAGACAGGGCCAAGGGGTTCTAGAATCTATAGGCCTAGGCAACCCTACAGCCACAGCTGAAGAGATTGCTATGCTTCTGTGTCCCTTAGACAGCATCCCCGACTCTGAGAGATAGCGGCTCACATTCTGAGTTCTGATTCAGCCTTGCTGACAATGCTGTGTTACCTTGGGGAGACCCCCTTAACCTCTCTGTACCCAGTACTTCTATGAACACATTGGCACCAATCACCACTACCTTCATGGAGGAACTCCGGAGACCTTGACAGTCTAAACCCATTTCCTAAGTCCAGTGAACAGCGAAAGTGTCAAATAATTGCAGAGATAATGGGAAATATGATAATGAGACCAATCTGTCTGTGTGGCCTTACACAGGACCTCACTAAAACCATTCAAATTATGACAGTCTTTATTTCCTCATACAGGGGTTTAGGGAGAATGAAAAGGAACCCAGTGCTACCCAGGGTTTGCTGGTCACCACATCTAGAAAGTTCTACTGTGTGTCTAATCCGAATCCCACTACTACTGCCCATCTCTCCTAGACCCTAGATGTCCTTGAACGAACGTGGACGAACCAGAAGCCTCCAGTCCCTGATTGTGTAGTCGCCTGATTGTCACCAGTGTCTGGTACAGAGCTGGGACACAGTAGGGATTCCGGTTTAACGAGTACATCCCAGTTTTGGAATGATAATGGCACAAGTGTTCATGTCACACTAGCTTAGAGGCAGTGAGGTATACATCTCACCTCCGTATTACATCTGTACAATGCTCGCAGCGTTTGTTGGTGCTGTGCATATCCCTGTAACCAAAATTTGATGGAGTAAAAGAACTAAACTTTCCATACGCATGTTTGACTGCCTATAGCAGCATACAGCTAGAATAGTACAGGGATGTGTAAGATTCAGCATCAGGTACCCCTTAAGTGGTTTGCAAACAGTAGCCAATTTTATGATAGAAAAGCCCCTGTGAATTAGAGTCTGCTATTAATCAGGAAATAGATGCACAGAGAGTTGATGTCTAAGGACACACATCAGGCAAGGACGACGGACACACAAACCCAGTCAGCTTCACTTGCAGAGTCTGTATGA